GTGTATTTAGTATTACACATTTCAATTCACAATGGATTTCATGCAATGGTGGTTGCTTTAGAATCCCTCCATCATTGATTCTGCATTACAGAAACAATTCCAGGAATATTTCAGGTGTGTTTCGTATTTTTTTACATTTATCTGCTGAATGATTCAACTTTGAAAACTCAACAGCATATTGTAACCAATCAAAGGTATCTTTGGTACATTTTTTACTTGTATCTGCTAAATTGATTTTTTTTCTTTACTTAAATAGTTTATTATTTTTGCTTTGAGTAAACTTTAATTCGCATCGAAATGGCTGAAGCGATATTCTAAAATTTTATTGCTTAATTATTTGGAGGAAAAAAAATTAAAATTAAAGCTAGATCGAAAATTACGATTTTTGGGGAGAGGACACTTGGAAAGATACTATTTTTGTTCTCATAGAAGTATAAAATTATGGAAAAAATTTTAACATTTCTAACTTTATTCGCATAAAAATTGAAAAAAAAAAGAACTAAAAACCAAGGTTTTGGGGATGGTTTAGGGAAGGTTTTAAGAAAATAATGGTTTTTCGTCAGGTAAGGGGTAAATTCCCCTCTGGAGACTGGATGTCAATTAATGTAAGGGGAAACTCACGCAAGGGTAATTCCAGACTTAAATAAATTGTCTAGAAAATTAAGAAGGGAGATTCAAAATTACACTGTAAGAAAAGGGTTTCTCAAAATTGAGCAAATATGCGTCAAATAGCTCCGAAACAAATATAGTCAAAATTGAAAACTCCTGGTTGGTTGGTTCTAATGCCACTTGCCACACGGGCAAGCCTGCTTGGTGAAACCGAGCAAATTTAAGGCAGAGTGTGCGTTTCTTGTTTTTCAGTGGCTCCATCTATGGGCAAGAATTTGACTTCGGCCACCCATACGTCGCACTCGTTTATAGGGCGGACCCATTCATTCATCCACAGATCGTAATTTTGACCTGAATCAGAGAACGATCGTTCTCCAATCCAGTACCCCCAGAGGTATTGATTTGTTATGTATGGAAGACTTTTGCGATTCGACAGATTTAACGTGCATCAGTCACTTTACTACACGGGGAGTCTTTAGCCGGCGGGGTTCGAGCCCACGAACTCTCGAACGTGGGCCCAGCGCCCTACCGACCAGGCTATCCCGACCCCTTGTACCTATCATTGAGTATAGTGATATTCTAAAAATTGAAACAGCTCAGAGAATCCGTCTTCATCTGAAAATAAACTTTGCGACAAACTAGGAAAGAGTTGATTACCGTTGTGAAAACATCCTGTCCTCATGAAATGAATTTGGAATGAAGTTAAGACTTGCAAACTTCTGTCTAATTATATTTTCTTTTTGAATATTTGATCGCTATTAGCTAAAGTACAGAATAAGTCTGAACTTTCAGCACTAATAAAGTTTGAACTTTCTTACATTTGAGGATGATGTGACATTTTGTCATGATATTATTTTTTGAGAATATTTTGAGAATGTCTTTACACTTAATGATTATAGGGGTCTTCAAAATCGACTATATTTTTTTCGATGACAAATTTTTTCACAATTTTGAGAAACTTTTTTAACAGTGTATTAAAACATTGATATTTGATTTTGGAGAAGATTTGAAAAAAAGAATTAAAATTATTTAGGGTGGAGGAGTACTCCCCTCAGTTTGGAAATATTTTATAGGAATTAATAGACCCCACTAATTGTATTCCTTGTTTTATGCGTTGAAGTACTGAACGAGATATAATATCAATACTTTAGACATTTTTTCTCATGCTTTTATATTTTTATTTATTTATTCCTGCATGATCATATTTAAGGTAGGAAATATTCTCTAATTTTTAAATGTAATGTCAAAACTGAAGAAAAGAAAGTTTCATGCTAAAAATTAGATTCTCCCCAGAATTTTGGTCATTAAGCTGTTTAATTATTAGACCTATCCTCTGTTAGTTGCTTGTTTAAACCCTTCGCTTATTTTTGCTGACCGAAAAGGGGAAAGGATTATGAGCAATGCTTACGTAGGGTATAAAAATCCCCTTTTTTTCAAAACTTTCTTAAAAATAAAAAATTTAACAAAAAAATTATGGGTGGAAAAATTTCTAATGCGGAATAAAAGTTGACTTTAGGTATAGGAAAAGAAAAATAGGAAAAAAATTTATTCGAATGGTTTTAGAGGTCAGCATTTTTTGGACACAAAAGATTTCCAATGAATTTTTTATCCAAATTTTATGAAATGAATTGAAATATTGAACTTTGTTTAATGCAAAGCTACATCTTTTTATTTGAATTTAATTCTAAAACTAGACTACTCAGTTAAAATCGAAGTTAAATCAAAAATCAGTTTCAATCCGTAAGTATAGGAGAGTTTGTGAATTGCTTATTTTTGTTGGCAAAGACAGGAGTCCAAGATCGCTAAAACGAACTATCCCGAAATGCGAATTCATGTTTCGTACCACTAAAACATAAATCTATTCGAAATAAAAACTCCCGTCAATTGTTTTCAGGTGAAATCCTCTATTACTAGGACTAATGATTTAAAAAATTGCATACATTAAATTTTATTTTATTACCGCCGTTGAACAACCGACCCAATTTTGGGTTTACCATTACTAATGCTCAACTTTGTAGCCTTGTAATTTTGAATCCAATCTAGACGACAAGGGAACTCCCGAATCAAGTATTGGTGGATATTTGCCTTCGGGGGAGACTTTTTTAGGGATGTAAACCTCATTTGCATTACATGGACAGGAAAACCACGAAAAGCTCCCATGGTTGACCTGACGGCAAGGGGACTCTCACCCATAATCCGTCGATCACTGTTACTTTTCGTCAGCACTGCGCTCGGTGCGAACCGGATGCGGAATCCGTATATTCAATGGCTGGGATCCAAACCCGCTACACCTCATTGTAAGGCGAACGCTCTATCCCCTGAGCCACCACAGCTCGCATACATTAAATTAATGAAGATAAGTTTTATTTTTGAAAACTTAGTACTTTTAAAAAAAAATTTTAAAAAATATATACACATTATTGCGCTAAATTTCGACTATAAATTTCGACCAATAATTATATAAAAATGACTATAAATTTTCAAAATAATTTCTCAGCTGAAAACTAATATTCTATTGTTCATTTTTATCAGAGAAAAAGATAAATAGTAATAAAAAGGAAATGAATGTATAATTCAAATTGTAAATAGTGTTTTGATTAAATTAATTCGAAGTGAACCTGAGGAGAAATAATCGTGAAAGTTAATGACCGTGCAATTGTAAAAAACAATTATGGACCATAGACAGTGAAAAGAGTGGCTTGACAACTTTTTCTTCTCTTTACTAATGCTATACACATCAAAATAGAATTTCAGAAAACTTATGAAAAAAAATACACTTGAAAAAATAATTTTTGCAACATGTAGATCACTATAGAAAAATGTCAAATGTAGAAAAATCCCTATTTTGAATTTCTTCGGTAGCATCCGTTGATTTTTCTGTTGTATGGCAGAACTAGTAAATAATTTTCTCGCTACGCTATTGTATATGAATAGAAGGATACGCCGTATAGTTCCTCAAAGTGTTTTTCTTAAAATATTTCAAGTGTACCAATCGTGTAGTAGAATTTAATTATGTATGTATCAAATATACAAAATTTAGAGAAACAAATTCACGAGAGAAAATTAGATATTGAAAAGAAGAAATATTTTTATAACTGATTTGATTGAAATGAAAATGGTTTTATCGTTAACATACCGACTAAGATATTGGTGTGAAAAGTTTTTGACTGAGCATTAAATCATTATAAAACAATTTGATTCTCACAACTCGAGAATAAGAATGCCTGACCATGTAATTTAAATAAAATCAAAACGTTTATCAACCATTACTTGGTTGCTAAATGTTTTGATTTTATTAAAATTATTATTCTCACACTTACTTTTAGCACATTTGAATGCGTAAGGCTAAGAAAAAGAGACTTGGCAATAAATTAAAGCAATTAATAGCCAGTACATGGATTCCTTAACTTTCCTTGGCGAAAACAGATTTTTGATTTCTTCATGGTTGGAGGTGTTCTGTGGGGTTTGCCTCTGCAGCCACACAACTCAAACCATTTTCAAAATTATTATTCTTTATTTAAAATATTCGCATATTCAGAGCCTGCGCTAAGGATTTCAAGTTATTAGCCAGTAAATTAGCCAAATATCAAAAAAATTCGCCAATTTTTTAAAATCTTCGCCAAATGCAAATTTCAATAATTTCCTATGATTAATTTTATCACATAGTAAGCTCTTTTAAGGTAGTTTGTTTTAAGCTTACATTATTTTGACAAATGCTAATTGGTTAAGCGGTATATCTACCGAAAATTACTGTAATCGAATAAAAAATACTGATTTGTTTAGCAATATTCATTTTGAAGTAATTTGAATTTTTTTTTTTTTTAAATTTTTTTTCCACAATTATATTTGGCAACTTCACGAATTTATCGCATTTGTCGAGGTGGCAACTATTTAGCGCGGGCCCTACATATTACAAATGACGATTAATTTTTATTTTCATGGAGCTCCCTACTTGCAAAATTTAAGACTTTTATTATTTATCAAATTCGATACAAATTTCCCTTTGTATCTCAGAACGATAGAATAATTGGACCAATTTATAATAATAATTTCCTATAATGATTCATCTACATATTTTTTCAAGCACTGTTTCCCCACGAACAATCAATTTTCTTTCCACTAGTGTTAATCATCATTTTCAGGATAAATATTCTGCCAATGATGCCTTCCTGCAGCAGCTTCAATTAAAAACATTCTTCATATTAACTATATATAACTTTCGTGACAAATTTTAGATTCCCTTTTACGCATTACAAGATTTATGTATACATAAATAAAACAACTATGAATCCTGAAGTAAACTGCTTCCAATGTAGAAATCAAAGTTAAAAATTCCTCTACAAAATATGAATAAAAGATGCATCAGTAACACAGTTTTTTATTAATATATTTGTTAAATACAATACATCATATTTTAGAAGTTGTATTGAAATGTGATGGTTACTGGGTTGCTCTCTCATTTTTTGAAGCAACAATGCAATATCAACTGAGCAAGAAATCTAAAAAATGAAAAAGATCACTGAGTACTAAATTAACAGCAGATGTTACCATTGCTATAATTCAACTGTAACGTAATATCTCACATATAAGAGATGCATCAGTAACACAATTTTTATTAATATATTCGTAAGATACAATACATCATACATTAAGAGTTGTATTGAAATGTGATGGTTGCTGGGCTGCTCTCTCAATTTTTAAAGCAACAGTGCAATATCAGCTCAACTAGAAATCTAAAAAATGAAAAAGATCACATAAAAAACACTGCAAAAAAGCATGCCTGAAATTTAAATGAGAACGATTTATATAAAGAATGATAAGTTTTTTCCTGGCATTAATGGAAATTACCAGAAAGTTATTTACCATGTTGTTAAATATTTTTTTCTGCTTTTCTTTTTCTGTAACTCAATACTTCTGTCTGTCGGCTATGTCGGAACTAAGTTCCTGTTATATGAAGAGTTATATGAAGTTACAGAGTTATAAGCGAGAAAATAAGCCTAATTTTGCCTCTTATAACTTCAGAACTATTTGTGCTAGAGTCCTGAATTCAGGCAGCGATTACAAGGAGCAATTTTAGTTCCAGATCCTATAAAAATCGTCTAAGGTATTCGATTGAGTTATTTCGAATTTTTAATTATCCATTTTTGAACTTTAGGCCATTAACCTTCCAAAACACTTTTAATTTTTGATCTCCAATTCTTAGAAAATAAGTTTTAGTTTTATCGTATGATGACTGACGAACAAGACTTAAACTCACGAAAACGAAGCTAAAGCGCTTTTAGTTATGCTTTGAGTAATTCAACTTTTATTTATTTGAATAAATTATATTAAGACATATAAAATGAATTTTCGAATCATAAATTTTTTTGTTCTCAGAATTTTTTTGCATTTAAGAACATAACCTATGTATATTCTTTGCTAAGGTCCTGGATTATCTAGCTTAAGTAGCGTCAATCTTTTTACCACGGCGTTTTGTTTAGATTCCACTTTTGTTTTAGATTGGTTGTTGCCGATAAAATACGTAAACGCCGCCATATTAGTGATTAGTTTGAACGGTGAAGTATCATCGGCGACATGGGCTACAGCTGGCTTAGAGCAGAACCCTCCATAGTTTGTCTAAAGTAAGAACTCTTCTAGCCATTCGTCTGGACCCATGGCGGTGGCTATGTTAAGGTGTAACTATTTCAAGTAGGGGTGTGAGGTCAATGTTTAGGACAGGTTATGGCTCGGTTATTATCGAGAGAAACTAAATGTTTTTTCGGTCTATTGTGTTAGTCCTAGAGAGAAGAGAAGTTACCCTCCCTGAAATGAGCTATTCTTGTTTCCATAGCAGCAGACGGCCTCAGACTTTGTGGCGGGGGGAGTTCTTACCGTATACAAACTATACTTATGGCATCATTTCGCTTTCTTTCATCACAAGAGTGTGAAGAGTCATAGGAGACGGAAGTATGTTTGATTGAAAATCTATATTGATTTTTAAATCAGTCTTGATTTTCAAAAAGATTAAAAATTTTTAAGTTAGGAAACTTTTTGAATCTCAAAAATGCATTGATAATAGTACTAAGAGAAAGCATCGTGGACATTTAAAAAAAATATTTGACTGTTAAACACGATACTTACCACTTTCTTAATATTTTTCGTAGTTCGTATTTTGTGCGGAAAAAAAACTGTCTACCCTGAATAACATTTGATGTAATGATCGGTTCTTCACGTTCTAGGACTCATTCTAAATGATTTGAGCAGGGGATGACCTCAAATATGCTAAATAAGTGCATACGATATTTTAAGTTACGAAAGACACAAAACGTACTTTCTCTGAATAAACATACCTTTTTTTTTTCAACGGCTTCGAATTTCTGACCTCCAAAATATAAGGGATAGCAGAAATCTGGGAAATATGGTCCCAATAGGTCAGAAAGACGGTCCTAAGTTTGGACCTCTTAATGTTAATTTTACATTTTGCGTATTTCACGATGTCTCTAGAACCTTTTAAACGAACTAAAAAACTTTCACACCATTGTAAAATTCGTTTTTCCAAAGATTGTTTATCTGTGCAAAAAATAAAATTTAGTAATTATTTATTATTTTATTTAATAATAGTTGTAAAAATTTTGAATTTTAACGTACACAATTTTTACATCATGTTAAAGTATATAATTTTACATGGAAAAATACAAAATTTGAGCCAAATTGGCTGAATAGTTCTGCGAAATCGAATTTTACAAAAACTGCTGTACATTCCTGTACAACTAAGAGGAAAGGGTCAAAACATAACTGGTCTCTCCAAGATGTCATATTCGAGAGTTGCTATCACGAATTGCGGCTGATCTGTTATTTCGTTTTTTTTTTACTTTGTTTCATAATTTTAAACTAATAATGGCAGGTTGTTGCGCAATGGAATGTTTTAATACGTAAAATTTAGGCTTCAAATTATTTTGTTTACCTTTTTGAGGTCGCTATGGAAAACGACGGAAAGTATTGCTGCATAGTAAAGATAGAACCCAAACGATAGCATTAAGTGAGATAAATTTGAAATTTATTTATACGTAAATTTGTTTCAAATTTTACATAATGCTATTTATTTATTATGTAGAGCAAATATCCTACCACCCTTTTTTCCAAAGAGATTTTTGAAATTCAACAAGTCCAATTGCATTAAATATATTCAAATGAAAGAAATAAAAATAGACTGCATATATTGCTTTTAATTTAATTATTTTTTTCCCTTAAAAATAGATGAAAATGATTTTAATAGCATTTACATTTCTAATTTAATTTAATAGCATTTCATATTTAAGTGATTTTGTTTCCAAAATAAAAAGTAAACTAGTGTAACATTAAATATATTTCAACTGAATAAATTTATGGTATGATTATTTCATATTTCAAATTAATTAGTTTTTTTTATACACAAACACATTTCTATTATCAAACATTATTCAGGGTGCGTAGCCAAATCTTTGAATCAAAAATAAGCGCTTTTTAAAAACTTTCAAGCACTTTACAAAAATTTTCAAGCACTCAAAAAATTTATATTAAATCAATGATGTTATTGAAAAACAAAAACTTTTTATAAACAGTTTTAGCGTTAAAAAAAAAAACCAAAAAGAAACGGGCGTAAATCGAAACAATCAGTACTTTCCCACATCACCGAGTGAATTCAACTTGACCCTGAACACAGAACAAAAGTACCCTTACCCCCTACGTCAAAAAAAGTGTTAGAAATAAAATAAAATAAACAAGAACATAATTAAAATAAATTAAAAAGAAAAAAATTTCATAAGTATCTGATATTCGCTATCCGAATTGGAGTACTCGGGTTTCGGTTTCAAGTGTGCGCGGATGCGCAAGTCATAACGTGGGTACGACATGAAGTCCGCGTGAATAATTACGTAGCTAACTCCCCATTTTTCGTGAAATGCATGGGATCCACCAGATATCATTGAAGGGGAAAAAAATTATTCGAAAAAAAAAACACTTTTTAAAAACTCCAGCTGAAAAAAGCACCTTTAAAAGCTTTTAAAAACGAAATCCCCAAAAAGCACCTTTAAGTACTTTTTACAAACGCTACGCACCCTGTTATTGAATTGTGTAAAATAACATTGTTTAACAAACACATTTTTATTTAATTTATTATTTTGAAAATTAAACAGCAATTTAAAACTATTTTTGGATTTTGTTAATTCCATCTGAAATTTAAATTAAGATTTCATTTTAAATTTAATTAATTGTATTTATAATTTTAGCGATTGTTTATTATAAAAGATTCACTGACAATTGATAGAATAAGATAATTTTGAAAAAAAGATTGGAATTCCGAAGAAAAAACTTTCTTTAAACACTGCTAATAATGTCCATAATGATTTAAATCACAAATCATATCAACCTTTGAATCTCATAAAAAAACTGACTGCAAAAAATTTCAAGTAGTTTAGAAAAAAAAGTTATAGCACAATGAATGAGTAATAGCACAAAGACGAAATGAGAAAGTTTTAACTTATAGATAAGGTATTACTTTCACTGTATAAAATAAAATTTCAGAAAAAAAGAAGTAAGAGAATAAATAGCAAATATTTAAGTTATCTTCAAGAATATGAAATGAGTGAAAAGTGGAGTTTAAGAATAGAAACTCCGTACTTCAGCATTAAGAGTTGCGGTTACAATCACAAGAGAGTTGCTGTCACAATCACAAGAGAATTGCCGTCACAATCACAACAGAGTTGCAGTCATCAAAACTGCTGTGCGTCGCTACTTAAACTACGTATTCATGGCTTTAAACCGTAAAGGTGGTGTAAACAAAGAAAAAATGAATATGTTTTTAAACATTTTTATCTAATTTTCCCACGTAAACAGATGACTGTACTTTGCTGTATCTTTATAAACATTTGTAATACAGTGCCTATCATAATGGGATATATTCTAGAATGTCTTCGGAATTTTTTAGAAAAACATTTATGACCATATTTTTGTTATCAGTATAATTGCAAAGATAGTATATCACTATACATCTTAATATTAGATATTATAAACAGGCAAATGTAAATGATTTTATTAGTTACTTAAAATTACTAACAGCATAATTTTACTGCTGTATATTTTTTTTAGAAAAATCCATAGAAGCTCAAATAGTTGCATAATTAGTTTCGTAATGAAACAAAACGAAACCCTTGTTCCCTCCTTTTTTAAACAATACAATGAGTGCTATCAAATGGTATTCTATCAAAAGATAAAAGTAAAAAATAATAAAACAAAAACTAAAAGTCTAATCTGAAATCAAAGATGGAGTGGAAAAAGGTAGAATAAATATCTTATTAGAAACGACAAACAATTCTAAAGAAAAATATCTTACTTTAATCCAGTGGGTTGATATTGATCTCAGAAAACAACTTGCAAATGCGATACATAGTTTCAGAAGCAACCTGAGCATTAACCTTCATAAAATTTTCCCAAACGGTCGATTGAAATACAGCTTTTGAATTACCGCAAATGAAATTATCGGCTATTTTGCTCAAATGAGCATCTTCGTGCAAGTTTGCCAGGGCTAATAAGTCTGGCACTCTTTCAGCACTTAAAGTGGATTCAAGAAACGAAGAACAAATAGTTTTTAATTTTTGGATTTGGTATTTATCCGCAATGGAATATAGTTCTAGTGAAGCATTCCATTCAAGGCCTGTCACCCTGTTGCTGTACGAGAAATTTAGCATTTTTTCAACTGCGTCGACAGAATATTCTTCAATGGTCACTTGTGACTTCGCTGTTTCAGTCATACCACTTTCGAACATAGCTTGGAATACGGGCGACATTGCAGAAAGAATCGTTTTATGAACCGAAAATTCTTTTCCGGAAACAAGCACTTTGAAGTCGCATAAAATTTTGTTCTCGTACATTTCTAACAAGTTACTTTGAAGATAGCTCATATTAAAACTGTTGCTATTTGAATCATCGGAAATTTCTTGTTTGTAAACAGTCTTCTCCAAAATTGAAGTAAATTTTCCTGTTGATGCAAGTAGTTCACATTTCAAACAAAGAGAATCCGAAATGGAATATTTACTGTAAGTTTCCTTTGAAATATCAATCCTCCAAGCAGGGTCATCCATCCCTGGTACAAACGTATAATTATTTTTGCACATATACTTAACGACTTCTTTATTTAAAAATGATAACTTGCATTGCAAAAACCCTTTAAAATCCGATTTCGCCATGTGGATGGTAATTGTAACTGGGTTCTTATTATCGTTGCAAACATAACAATGCAATTCGATTTGAAATTCTGGGTGTTCTGTTGAGGTGGACGCAAAGGGAGAGGTCACGGAATATTCAGAATTATTGTACATTTCAGAGACCTTCAGAGGCAGAAGAATTGAGTATTCCGTCTTAATCAGTTTCGAACGCGCGTTACATTCAACAGGTACATTTTCTAGCAGAAAAGGTTCGGAGCTTATGAAAAAATGGAGTCCAACAGTTAGAATATCTTTGTTTAAGTATGTATCCAAGACAGTTTTTTTAGATAAGGTAAGTGGTTCGATATAACGAGATGATGGTGAAAAAAATATATTTACTCTATCAGTAAATACACACGAGCCATCAGTTTTTTCGATAAATAGCCTTACATCAGTAGCTACTTTAGATGAATCATTCAAGTCATCTATGCATCTGAATAAATTCAGATTAATATTCTCTTCTGCAGCGCCACGTAAATCGAGCTCAAGTCTCCATGCAGAGTTCTGGAATTGTTTGATTCGAAATACAGGGCTATCGATCGATACATACTTATTATGTAAACATAATGTAAAATCTTCTATTCGCCAATTAAAAGAAAATCCGATTATTTTTCCTGAATCTCTGGCCATATTTGCATGCAAAATGAACTTCTTTTTTATAAATAATTCGAAAGACAAACCAGAGCGAAACAGTGGATTCAGCGTCTTCACGATACACCTTTCAAACTAAAAACAATAACTAAAACTGATAGCTCACCGCCTGGTTATCTCTGCGGAAGTTTAATCTTGACTTTTTATCGCCAAATGCTTTATTTAAATTCTCTCTTTTTTCACTTATTTATTTCTGTGATTGATAGTAGAGTTTAATGGCACAAGATCCAAAAGAGGACATGCTGCGCCAAACAGTTCGTTAATGCAGCTTAAAATGTAAAATGCTTAGAACATTTCCTTATCTATAAAATACATAAAGGTAATAAAACCGTTAATAACGAGATGAATATATTTAAAAATCACTAAAATCCAATAGAAGGTGCATTTATATAAGGTAAAACGGTGAATGGATAATAAATAGGAGTGAATAAAATCAGATAATACCTTCTATATACAATATAGAATACCAATAGCTCGCAGAAATGCGAAAATGTTAGGATGATGGATTTCACCTAACAAATCCTTCATACATAAAATAGTGCTGTTAAAAAGGTAATACGATGTTGGTTAAAACAGGGACAAATGGTTAAAATGTGATGAAGCGTAAGTAAAACGTTACAAGTGTCGCATTTGGGAGGAGGCTCTCCAAATAATTGATGAAGATGGGTGAGTCGAGTGTGGCCGATTCTGAGACGAGTAAGCTTTACATCTGCATTACGTCGACGCAATACTGGTATATGATTGAGATCAGATTTTATATTATATAGTTTATTTTGAGTTTGAAGATCCCAATGTTGTTGCCAAAGAGATACGATAATCTGCCGAATATGTAATTTAATATCTGAGTATGGTACAGAAATTGTTAAGGCAGTAGTGGCAGATCGTGCTGCAGAATCAGCCAACTCATTTCCTGGTATACCGACGTGACTCGGTATCCAGCAAAATAAAATATCAAATCCCTTCTTGTGAAGAGCGATTAATAAATGATTAATGAAGCATAA